GAAGAGATTGTCTGTAGTAAGACAGTGCTGACAATGTAATCAGTGTAATAAAAGAATATATAGTACCATGCATACCTGTGATGTTCCAGGTATCTAATTCTTGCAATGTTAATTTGATGGCTGCTATTGGGGTCAACATAATGTTAACTTAAGCCTATGGAAATTATATCCTATTCAAGAGATTATTGGAAACCAATGTGATTCTTCCCAGAAATTTAGAAAATCCCAAAGAGCTTTCACTTCAACAGTCTATTCAGAGATCTATGCAGATGGAATCTGTCTTCATATTTTATTTCCCAGAATATAAAAAGTGCAAATCATTATAAAAACATTTCTAAATATTTGTTTATAAAATGACAAAGTAAGCTATTATAATAATGTATGTATTTCTTTGATAATTCTCTGTAACCACACTTTGTTAGCATGGCAGCTGTAACAAAAATTTTATTTCAGTATATGTAATTTAGTCCTTTAGAAGTTGTAGGTATTGGCACAGATATACCACATATTTGTATATAGCAAATAGGACAAAGATATGTAGGACAGCACCAAAATAGTACACTCTTATGCTCTTGAAAATTTCTGAGAGGGAATTACTGACGAATGAGTTCTCTGTGTCAGAAAGGTCATTGTTACCTCTCCTAAACTCCAAAGATAGAAGGAGCTAACATTCACTTCTCTAGCCAATAAAAAGCCTTGGCAACTAATCCGCCAGCAACTATTCTGAAAATCTCATGGTGTTTTGCAGGCAGTGTTGTCAGTGAGAAAAACAATTCTGAGACTGTGTGTAAATTAGCCATTCTTTTAGTTTAGCTATCCATTTAATTATTTAAATTGTTATTTGTTGTTCAGAAAAGAAAGTGTTTTAAACCATCACTTTTTCCGCTTGCAGACCAACTATATCTTACAAATAAATTAGGAAAAATTTATTTTTTTGGAATGCACTCAATTATCTCTGTTGTGCCTTCAGATATTTTGTTTTTCTTCTGGTAGTAGTTTTTTTTTTTTTTTTAATTAACTATATGAACTTTAGATAGGCTATGTTGGAGAATCCATACAATGGCTGTGAGCTTTATTTTAATGCAATTAAGGAAAAGCTTAATAATTTTATATTTTAGATTTTTTTTAAAACATAAGCCACACAGTGGAAAATAAATTTGAAGAGATAATCCAAAAACTGACATTTAAAAATTTTAGAATTCACGTTTGAACTTTTCAGTCAACCAATTCCAATAACTACAGTTTATTTTTCCAGACAGAAATTAATTCATGATTGCATTCTCTTACTCTTTTTAATACTATTCAAATCTCATTTAGCAATAAATTATATTTTTATTCTATATGTTCAACATGGGTCATATTTCTATAGCTCCCTTTAGGATTTATATACTTTTCTTTACTGTTTTGAATCTATAAAAATCAGCTACAGTAACTGTTTAAACTTTTTTATTTAATGATTATGCTATTTTCATTATTTTTACCTTTTTTCTTTTATTGACTGAAGTTTCTTTTTCCTATAGCTGAAATGTTTTTCTTCCTTATATCCTTGGTAATTTTAGATCATGTGTCTGACATGAAATTTGCCTTGTTAGTTATTGTAAATTTTGTATTACTTTAAATTTTTTTATCTTTGTTGTGGGGTATAGTTAAAAAATAATTTGATCTTTTTGAGGCTTGCTTGTATACTTCATCAGATGTAACCAAAGTAGAATTTAATCTATGGATCATTTGACTCTTCTACTAAGCTTATATTTATAGATCCCTAACCATGATGTATGCATTAAATTATATCAGATTATATTTGTATACTTCTTAAAGCAATAAATGCAACTCTTATAAAAGTATGCTTTCTCCAAGTAATTGTGGTATTTCAGCATAATTAGATTTTATCCATTTTAAACTCATTCATTAGTAAATAAGAAAAAGGAGCCATATTTATTTTTTACAGATGACCAGGGACTTATTTTCACCCAACATTTTACTGGATTTTACACAGATATCACGGCACTTGCTTTTGGAGGTTATAGTATAATTAACAGCCTTATAAAATTCATTGCTCTTTTCTGCTTTTAGCCTAATGTTTAAAAAATATGCTTACTATCATTGACTTCTTTGGTTGTTCAAGACAGGAGGAAAATCTAGTACCTGTTACTGAGTGTTAGCAAGAAGCAAAAGTCTAAATATTTTATACCAAGAAACAGTTCCAAATTGTATCAGCTACTGACAGCTGCTGACTGCTGCCTCACTCTCGCACACCTCAGGCCCCTTTAATAACTCTTGTTAATTATTAAAGTTCTACAACTGGAAAACACCAGCACTGTACTCTGAGGTCTGTGAATGTATTTCACATTTACTGAATATAAATGCTCTGGTAACCTGACTTCTTTTATTCTCTTGATTAGGTATTGGTTTTCATATTGCTCAGTAGTTCCTCAGAGCACATGTTAGAAACAATAGAAATGATGATAAAATCATCTTGGGGCACCAGATTTATATTACCAACTTTGTATTTTTCTCCATAAAAACTCTAAAACTGCAACCATGTTTGTTATCAACATCTGTAGAATGAAAGCAAGGCTTTCTTATTTCAAAATTAAATAATTTAATAAATTAAAATTTATAAAATACTTTTCCATAGCATCATCTTTAATTTACTCATTGTAACTCCACTTAGTAAACAGCTGAAAGCCTCACTTGGCTTTCAGCTGTCTGACACCAGGCTCCATGTTATTCATCTTGGTAGCCCTGTACATACACAATGCTAAGCAATCAGTAGATTTTCAAATATTGGTTTAATAAATGGAAGAACATAGGTGATCATAAAACATTTTAATTTATTACTCATTAATTTCAAGAGGAAAATCAGACAAGCATTAGAAAGTACTTGTCTTAGTTACTTTTCTCATTGCTGACAAGTACCTGGCCCTCAAAGTTAAAGGAGGAAAGGTTCATGTAGCTCACAGTCTGTAGAGGGTTCAATGCAGAGTTGGCTGGCTCCAAGGCAGGGCGGCATGGCAGAGGGGCATCCCAAGGGAGAAATAATCCATGACAAGCAGGCAGATGAGAGCACGTTGGTCCTCTTTCTGTCCCTTATATTTCATGCAGGCTACCTGCCCTAGGGCAGTTGCAGTGCTCACGCCTTTAATCCTAGCCTGAACTATGCCAAAACAATCAGTGGGCTGCCTTGTTAATCACACAGCCTTGATGACAGTACCACAAACATAGATCCAGCCACCTTTGAAAAGCTCCCTCCCTGCCAGGACTCATGAGGCTTTGGGGAGACACCTAGACAGAGCCATAGCAATACTTTCCAAAACAGGGTAAGGAATCAGGCTTCATTTCTTCATCTGAGAGAAATATAGGGCACTAAATCCCTTCCAGCCTCATAAATTTGTGTGTCAGTGATATCTGCATCATTATTTAGCTCTTGTTATTTTCAAGATATGGTAATCTATTGGAGGTAATCTCTTCCCTCATTGAAATAACAGGTTTTATATAGTATGTTGTGTACTTTAAAAAAACTTACCAAGAAAGGATAATATATCCATAGCATCAACTTAATCTAATTTGCATAATAAGAGCATGAATCATAGCTTCAAGATATTAGTGCACCAAATAGGACTTAGGATATTTATACAACTTTAACTTTCCCTTGGTGTTTTAAGAGTTTTCCTAGAGAATAATTGACATAAAGCTAATAGAAAAATATAATCCATGATTAATTTAAATTCCAAATACCAGGGGACTCCAAATGTAAGGCCTTTTTAATGTAAGGTATTTTGGAAGGATAATTCACCATTATAAATTCAGATTTTTGGCTATATATATATATCCCTAATGTAAACCAAATCATAAGAAGTAATTTGTACAACAGAGCAACTGCTCCACATTTTACCTATGAGAAAAATATAAACCCTTAGTTCATTGAAAACTTGCCTCACTGCCCTCTGAGAGTTTGTGCCTGCCTCGTCCATAGGCCCCAGCTAAGAACTATTCTATCCTCCATACATCAGAGGAGAAAGTGTCTGTGTGTTGTGTTGATAGTCACTCTAAACAAATATTTATACAGTGGAGATCAGAGATAGAAAATGTCAGTCCCAAATCCACCCATGATGGCACTTATACCAGACAGATGACAAAGTCTGGCTCAGGTTATAAAGGCTTGTGAAATACTTGAATCATATTTTGCAACCCTTGAAAGAATTCAACTTGGAGATTAGCAGAAACCAGGCTCAGTTCTGTCCATAATCCCCTTTATCTGTCTTCTAGCCAAGAAAATGAAAACCTTAAAGCCAAACTGACAAATAGAGTGTGAAGGGCCTTCTACTGCATTTAAGAAAAACCTGAGAGTGCTATATGTTGAAAATTGTCTCCTGTGTTAGTATTATTTTTGTTATTGACTTTAGAAATAATGAAGTAAACCACTAAAGATGATATTTCAATGTATTAGCTATTAGCTGCAATCATAAGTTTAAATTCTTTAATGATACACTCGTCATATAGCACAAAACTTGTGCAAATTGTGTAAATTAGTGTGAAAACAAATGCTTTTTTAATTGAGCAGTTTATTGAAGTTTTGTCAGTTGGAGCCATTTGGATTAAAAATATTTAGGATGGTTCTTCTGGAAGTAAAATGAAAAAGTCAATAGGAAAAGAAGGAGCAGAGTGTGGTTAGAGGTAAAAGGTACAACTTCCCAGGGGGACAACCTGGAACTTTGTGAAGCTGAACATAGAGAGAGCAGTACGGAGGAATCATCACACTCTGTTCTCTCCTAACACAAATATTTTAAAACAGAAGGAGAGTGTATTGGACATCAAGCTCATTGACTCACTACATTTAATTATAGAATGAA